TATATATACACATAATTATATATACATACATATATATAATTGTGTATATATGCTATATATATTATATATTACATATTTTTCCTTAAATTATAAAAACTTTGTTTGTGAAATTGTATACAGACGATCAATACATCTTTTTATACATATATAATTGTGTATATATGTATATATATTTAACACTTTTCCTTAAATTACAAAGATATCACATGTGTGTTTACCTGTGTGATGAAAGAGATAAACTGAAAGAGGGAAGGATGTTAAAATAATTTAAAGCACAAAATATATATAATAACAAAACAAAATAAAACTTTCGCGCCCACAGCATAACCTTGTTATTACTGCAGATAGATACGTCGTTGCTAATGGTTATCATGGCCGCGCATGCGCGAGAAAACCCGGCCCATCTCACAACACTGCAGGCTGCTCGAGTGCTGTTTCCGAACGTACCGAGACTAGACAAAAAGTCCTTTAGAGATTTGCTCGTTTTTGCTGCGTTTTGAAGAAAGCAAAACAACAAACAATATGTAAGCAAATTTGAAATTTATCAAAATATATATATAACATAACAATAAAAGACTTTAAGTGAAATTGCCAAGGACATAAAAGTTCTGTATCAATAATCTCGTAGGTCTTGTCAAACCGCAACAAAAGGCCGTGGGTACAAACATCACCGCTATGCAAGCAGCAGCAGCAGCCGCCAACAGATTCACCGGAACGGCCGGCCCTATTGGTACTACGAACGTTGTAGGCGGTTAGGAAGGTGGAATGGCAGCACAACAGGCACAACCATCCGCACCGAGTCCCGCTCAACATCAGTCGGGAGCGTCGACTGGAGGACAGCCAAGTCCCCAACCAGGTGCTCAAGGCCCAATGGCTGTACCGTCTCAAGCTGGTAGGTTTATATTTACTCATTATTATAAATACTATTTCTAGTAACATTGCTAAATAAACTTGGTATATCTTTATCAAGATCTCTTCTATCTGTTATCTTTAGGGACAGCAAAATCGACACCTGATCCTGAAAAATGTAGACTTATTCAACAGCAATTGGGGCTAATTCTACATGCGCATAAATGCCAAGTCCGCAAACGTGCAGCGAATGGTGAGATGAGACAGTGTACCTTACCGGATTGTAAGACGATGAAAAACGTCTTGAATCACATGACGAGTTGTCAAGCTGGCACGAATTGCACTGTGCCACATTGTAATATATCCAGGCAGATTATCAATCATTATAAATATTGTATTCGAAGTGATTGTCCAGTTTGCTCGCCGATAACACAATCGACTATAAACAGATATAATTCTGCGCAAGGTAATTTAGAAAAATTTTGTTTATAAATGACATTTCATGCGCGATAATTCTTTACTTATCTGTATTATATATTTTTGTATTAGCTCCTGCAATTCAACCAAATAATCAGCCAAATCCGAGTCCATCCGAGATGAGAAGGACTTATGATGCTTTAGGGATTCAATGTTCGACAACAACACCGGGACTCTTACCCGGCCAAGGCGTTGGTAGAGGTATTAGAATGCCAACGCCCGGCATCAAGGAAGAGAGCATGACACCCATGTCTGGTAAGGGTGCGACCACCTCTGATATTAAACCCATGGTGCCGGAACCGATTCAACCAAGCGACACGTCCACCGATAAGAAAAAGTATTTGTTCAAGCCTGACGAGTTACGCCAGGCATTGATGGCGACGTTGAAGAAGCTGTATCGACAAGATCTTGAATCCATATCGTTCCGACAACCCGTGGATCCTCAGGCGTTAGGTAGACCGGATTACCCGACCATCGAAAAGAAACCGATGGATTTGTCGACGATCGAGAAGAAACTTGACACGGAGAAATACAGCGATCCGTGGGAGTACGTCGATGATGTGAGGATGATGTTTGACAATGCCCGGCTCTACAATCGCAAGACTTCTCTAGTCTATAGAAACTGTACTAAGGTAATGTCTATTTAATGAGATAGTATCTCATCGAATATAATTTCTATAATTTACGTATTTATGTCTAATTCATAATTCTTGTTTTGTTTTTTTTCCATTAAATACAGCTCTTAAAAGTATTTGAGCAAGAGATAGATCCTGTGATGCAGGCTTTGGGATATTGCTGCGGGAGAAAATATACATTCAACCCACAGGTGCTCTGTTGCTACGGCAAGCAACTCTGCACAATACCTAGGGATGCAAAGTATTACTCGTACCAAAACAGGTCAGTATGCACTGTAGTACATGTATTAAATCAATAGAATTCATTTAATTAACATAAATGATAAAATATTATTTTAAAATCATAATTCTTGAAAAGTATTAAAGTTATTAAAAATAAATGTTTATTAAATGTTAATATTAAAAATATTAAAATATTAATACATAAAATATTTTAATTTTAACATTGGCACTGGTCTCTTCTTTGTATGTTTGCCCATGGGCTGCGCACACGCACATATATCCTTGTTAGCCTTGTTTACTTCTTGTGTTGCTTGTGCTCTTGCTTCTTTCCGACTCTACTGCTGCGAAAAACTTGATACTTGGGAAACGCTAATTGAAAATAAATAAATAAAAAACAAAAAAAAAACGATATAATAGCAGTCTAAAGGGAATTGGTATTCAGTCCGACAGATACACCTTCTGTCAGAAATGTTTCAACGACATTCCTGGAGACACACTGACGTTGGGAGATGATCCAACACAACCTCAAACGTAAGTGTAAAGGATGTAGTCTGTTAATATGTTATTTCAGTTTATATATGGCATTTTTATCTTTCTCTAGACGAGAAAATAATATTTAATTATAAGGTTGGTTCAAAAACGCGTTTTATTTTTTGTTTTATTTTTTAATATCTAGTCTCCAGTGTTTCCAATAAGTGTTGCAGTATCATATTGGAGTGAAATCCACAAGTATGTTACGAGTTTATTCTACAAATATGTTATTATTACAATAAATCTGTTACTTTCATATATATTTTTTTTTTTTCATAATTTAGGAAGCCTGGAAACTGTCGAGGACGAGGTGGATTGAATCACTGATGCACATAAAGAACTGCAAGAGAAAGACGAACGGCGGATGCCCATTTTGCAAGCATCTGATCGCGGTGTGTTGTTATCATGCGAAATACTGCCAAGAGACCAAGTGTCTTGTTCCATTATACTCCAACATTAAACACAAGATTAGGACCCTAATATTTACCTAGACGATGATCAACATAACCATGATCAAAATAACATACATAGGAATATGAATGGCAATCCATTCCGATTTGTAAGTAAAATATAGACAGTAAATCATATGCACAGTTTACCCCAAATTGGTACATTTTTTGAAACGCATTAAAAGTAAATATAATGTAAGCATACAAAGTATCGATATAAATATAAGATGTTTGAGAAATAAATGGTCAAACTTTAGAAATATATTTTAATTATTATATGGATAAGAAAAATTTATATAAACGTAAAGTCAGAAACGCTTTCGTTTTGAATTATAAACACGTTTTGTTTACAATAGTTTGACAATAATATATTGTTAAAAAAAATGCTAAAAATAATTTCTTTTCTTAGCAAACATTTATCTACTATCAACATCTCATCGATTGTCGAGAATGTTTAAAAATTTCTAGAGTATTTCAAATTTCATAACACGAAGCGATAATACGATTTTAAAATTCTTTCCAAATAGTAATAAAATAGCAAAACGGGCATTAGCAATAGCTAATGAGAGGTCTCGAAATAAAAATCTAAAAGTTTTAAATCGGTAGATTCAAATAGATAAGTGAAAGGAATTCATTTCCAGCAATTTTTTCTTTACTAATTGTTTTTGTCTTACTCTGTCATAAAAGCGGTTATAATTTGAAAAGAAAGCTTGGATTTATATTTATATTACTTTTTCGATTTTATAGTGAACAGTATATGCTTCTAAACTTGTTTCTTTTATACCGTTATTAATTGTTAATGCGTAGTTATTATTATATTGATAATATTAATAATATCGAATGGGTATGCCCCATTAAGTATATTATTAAACCCGATTCTCAACTTCAAGTCGTCTAAACTATGCATAGTTGCATAATTAATTTTTAAGATTGATATTTTTTTATAAATATATAATGTAATAACCATAGACATAGTATATCTAGACCGAGCGTTTGCCTTTATTTAAGGAGTGGGGGTAAAGATGCACGTAGAAAAGTAAACGTTTTGTTGGTTATATTCGTTCGTAACTAGTATTGCTATCATTAAAGCTGGTATTGCTTTTGTCGTATTTGTATCAGGTAATATATGATATATATAATTCATATAGTAATATATCATATAATAGATTTATTTAGTTCATATAAAAATTTTAAATTTAAGTTTAAAAAATAGAAACTGATGATGATTATTTGCGCGCGCGCACGCCTGTTCTTTACATTCAAAAAAAAATATTTATAACAGTAAGTGTAAAGGACGTGTGTGTGTAAATACATACATACATATTAATGCAGCATTGGAAGAATAGTTATATTGATTTAAACTGTTAATAACAACGAACCTATATTTTCTTGATGATAATAAAAGCAAAACAATCTTTAATTTTTTAAATACAATGCCGTGTTGTTTTATCATCAAAATGCACATTATTATTATTATTTAAATAAATAATAATCTATTATCTATTTATTTTTTTACTTGATAATAAAATCTATTATTTATAACAAATCTATTATTTAAAAAGGATCTTCGATGTTTGCTTCACGTTCGATCAGATGCATAGCCGATTTTACGTCATCTTCACGCGTTGCTTTCATTAACAATGTATAAGCTTCATCGTTAACTTCTTCGATGTTTGCTTCATTCTCGATCAGAAGCATAGCCAAATCTATGTGACCTTCACGCGCCGCTATTATTAACGGTGTATGACCATTCTCATTATGATCGTTAACATTAGCTCCCGCTTCTAATAAGACACGTACAACCTCTTCATGTCCACCGGCGCATCCATACATAAGAGGTGTATTACCTTCAATTACAAATACAAATACTTTGTAACAATATTATCCTCGACAAATTCGTAACTTCGATAATATTTGCAAATAGAAATTTAGCGAAGTATTTTAAAATAATCATATATAATAAAAAATAAACATATAATGCTAGTAATTTTACCTGTAGTAGACTGAGCGTTGACATCTGCTCCGTGAGCGATCAACAGACTCACGATATCTACGTGTCCTGCACTGGCGGCTTTCATCAAGCCGGTACAGTCCCCACGATCTTCTACATTAGCATTCATCGCCAAGAGGACCTATTTTATAAAAACATGCAATAGATGAATTTTTCATTTATTCTTGCAAATGAATTATAAATGAATCTTACTTTATAATTGTACGAATTGTTTATTGCAAAATTTATCAAGAAAGATTATTTCATATATCATGACTCATGTTTAATGGTATAAATTGTGATAAAATATACCAAAGACTCAAGAGGTTTATGAATTAATAAATAATTGTAAATCCTAAATATAAAATCCATTTTTACTGTAGGGTACATGTAGATTGAGTTATATATGCATTTATTGATGTAAAATAATAAAAAAGTTTTTAGTGCATTTTATCAATCCATATTAAAATGCAAATTGTAGCATTAAAAAAATTAATTTATTTCGTTGTATTTCAAGAGAAGAAAACAATTCTCACATTTAAAGTCATAATATAGCTGCAGTGAAGAAATATTGCAGTCTTACTTAAAGTAATTAAAAAGTTTTTGCTAATTAAAATTTGTTTACGAGTTTTATACAGCCTGTAGCCTATAACACAAAAATATAACTGCAGACTAGAAAGAAAGAAATATATTACAAATATAGCTTTTGAATGTATAAGTCTTATAAAGCCAAACTATATTTACTTTCAAAATAAAAAGCAGTAACTATATAAAACAGAGTGTCTACTCAAATCTTACGATAGTGAATCCTTAAAAAATGTCGATTGGCGATAATTACCAGTTTTTCTCTTCCTGTTTACAAATCTAATTTCATAAAATTCTGCTGTGTTTTTAGATATATAAATCACGATTTTTAAAATATATTTACAGGTCTATTTGTCTCGGCTATTCTTTCCTACATGTTGCATTTGAATAGATAAGACCTTTACAAGGAAATTATTAGATAATACTATAAATTAATTGCTTCAACAATGTTATAGAATCCATCTTAGATCCAGCTCTGTATCGAGTCAAAATTTGAACTAAATTATCTTGATTTAGCAATTTCATGTCTTTTTCTATGATTTTAAGAAAATGTATGATTTTTTTCTCTCTTTCTATTTATCTACAACAGCATCTTAAAAAGGTTGATTTAAATATGTGCTATCATAGTCTCAAAAAAAGCTTGAAAACTATTAAAGAGAAAAAAAAAGATTTCAGACTAAAGAAATATTGTGTTTAAAAAGACAAATGTTAGCATTAAAAAGAAAAAAGAAAACGTATTCTTTTTTTTTATTCATCTCACTAATGCCTTAAATTTGTTCGCTTTATGTTTTAAGGCATTTATAATGTTAAATAATTTTTTTTTTGTTTTTATAGATTATAATTTAAATACAAATAAACAAGAAAAAAGAAATTAAATAGGATTCATTAATCATATTGTTAGTACGGTCCGATATTAGCCGCAATTAATATGATAATCTAGAATCTAGATGAAATAATATCAAACTAAGGTGACTGACGATTTTTGTGAATTATAATTATAACTACGTTGTCGAATGGAAAAAAAAAGGAAGCTAATTGAAGTTAGCGTTTCAACCAAGAGACTGGCCTGAAATATGGCGAGATTGGCTTTGGTTCCTGTCGGAATAAATAATTTTAGATCAGCGATTTTCAACGCCTTCTTTTAGGTTATGATCACGAGATGCATAGGATAAATATAGCCACAATGTAGGATCAAACTTTTAGCCAAGAGGTTGCAAATCTTAATTAGTCTACAGATTAGCTAATAACTTAATAATTTTGTCGCATTTTCGAATTATATGATTTGAAATTAAGCTCTCAAACAATTAAATTTAAGCGAAAGAGAGAGAGGAGAAGAAGAAGAAGAAGAAGAAGAAGAAGAAGAAGAAAAAGAAGAAGGGTTACAACCTTAGGAAATTTCCGAAGCTTCGAGAGAGACGTACTTACGAGGATGATCAATTTCGACGTCGAGTGTTGACGTCGTGAGTTTCGACGTTAGTGTGATGAGGACCTGTATAAAATAAAATCGGTAAAACAATATTCGCAGAAGTGACATTCATACGAGATACAAACACAACACACACACAGATATATATATATATATGACAAACACAAGCGCAAAGATAATCATATACATATTCTCTCTCTCTTTCTTTCAATCTTTCTCATACCCTCTCTTCCCATCCGTCTCTCTCTTACTCTCACATCCTGTTTCCAACATAGTGCAAAACGTCTTAGGTTTACCTCGGAAACGCTGTCCTCCTCACTTTCCATCATTAAACGTGGCTGCAGCTCCAAGACCATCTCGATTTCCGACTTCGTAGGGCTTGAATTTGATGTCTTCCCAGTTTCGTAGTGAACGTTCGCTGCTGCTGCGGATTGCTTTTCGTGGCTTTTCTGGCTATCCGAGGTCGTTCCTTGTACTACATTCTGCATCTTTCCTCTCCAGATAAATCATATGATTAAACACAGTTATTGCTGCTATCGGTGATAATCGTTGACGCGCGGCCAAAACCACACCACCGTACACTCGCTCCCTTTTTTTTCTTTTCCCCTCACGACTTGTGCGCGCGCGACAATAAGCCCGACGACGATAGTTACGGCCGACACGACGGCGAGAGAGTACCGAAAACTATTTCTCTCTCTTCTCACACAACGGTCGGGAACCGCAGCGTCACCATAGCATGGCGCGTAACTTCAACTGAGCTTAGTAGAATTTTTCTCCAAACTATTTGCGTAGGAATTGAAAATAATAATTAACGATAGGCGCGCGGGGAAAAATCTTAAGATATACAGTGTGTTCGGTTTAGTATATATATCCTTTTTAAATAAAAGTTTAAATTATTATATAGATCTTAAACACACACAATCACGTATACAGATATATTTTTATCACAAGTTTCATTTAAATACAATATCATTATAAATTCATTATTTTTGATCATTCATTTTTATTATAAAAATGGTTCGATGTTTATTGACATGGCAGAACATGAAATATTTAATTCAAACTTTGAAAGTACATCGGGTTGTAAAACACCCATTTTTCCTATTACTTCACCATAGCAAACAATTTCAGCACATCGTTGAGGGAAGAATGTTGGGTCTATAAAAACATGAATAATAAATTTCTATTGTGCAAAAATATTTTTTTTTTTTAATTTGATGTTAATCATATTTAAAAAAAAAAAGGATAATACATCCATCTTACCATCAGCTGTACGCAAATAATATTGACTTTTGTCTTTGCTAGGGCTCCAAGGTACTTCTAGTAGCAATAATATTCTATCCACTAGGCCATGTATGATCTCAAAACCAGCTGGTTTATTAGCGTACACTGCACATAAACGATGATTATTGCGCGCACCAACTTCCATCTTATCGTCTCTTAATACAACATCAGAAACTTCTAACAATTTATGAGGCAATGGCATTTTCTTATTTGCAGATATCGTTTTAAGTAATCCTGGTAAGAGTGAAGTATGTGCAACCTGCAATGATTTTTTCATTGAAATATTTTACATAATTTTACAATTTGACTGAAGTGATTTTACAATCAAGCTTTTTTAACTATAATACCTTTATTCTCGATAATTCTTAAATCACTTAAATCTTTGTTTAAATCTAATTTCTTTTCTTGCATTGCTCTTCTGTCACTTTATATTTATAATTTAATCATATGGTAAATTCTATCACTTCCTCATGAAATTGCACACCCAAAAAATTGTTTACGCTACATGTCTATGTTAAATTAATAGAATAAATGAGGGTTAAGAAAAAGAGGACTTACAATGAAAATATGAAAACTCGAGAGATTATAAATTACATTACCTGAAACTCCAAAGTTTTCGAATTAGATATATGAATTGCTGGTACATCTTCTATTTTATAACCCAATTTATCCGCTACATCTTGACGGGAACACCATAAAATAATGTAATTAAAATGCGTCAAATCGAAGATATAAGAACTAATATAAATTTTTTTTAATATACCAGAGAAAAAGTTAGAGCCTCAGTAAATTCTGCCTCTGCTAATTCCATTCGTATTTAGTCAGTGAGTTTGTTGAGTGGAAACTAACATTCACATATGTGTATATAAAGTACACACACGCCCACACATAAATTTCTCAATAAATTAAATTATATTTAATTAAAAAGTATCTTAAATTTACCTCTGCTGCAATTGTTGACATATGTGGTATAGTTTTTTCTATTTTATTATATCCATAGGCACAATAGCAATATCTTCATAAATGTCACAAGGATGTATCACATCGT